AAATTTGAAAAAATAGAAAATCGATAAATAAAAAAAATTTGAATGAAAATTAAAAATGTAGGAAATGAAAGAATTCCCAAGAATGACAAAATATATAAAGTCTGCAAAACAAAATCATATTTACAAACAAAAAGGAAATCCAATTTGTATACCGCATTCCCAATTTGTTTCAATTTATTCACGAAATATCTCGAGTTGTTAATCCAGAAACAGTAGTTAATTTGTCAAGAGAAAGCAATCAGAAGTTATCATTTAAATATTGTTCTTTGCATATGTATCTTGGGAAACAAACAACAAAGAGACCTTTAAAAGTGAAACGATAAGTGTTATCAATCACCTCGATTCGAGATGTTGTCGATGAAAGTTCGTGTGGGATCACGTAATCGAACAGTTTAATTAATGACGTTTACTGACTGTTATTAATTGAGACTTATCGAACAAAATAATTGATTTTCTGTTTTTGTTATCGAATTTTTTTTTTCGTTACGTGAATAATGTCAACAATTTGAAACAATATTGTCATTCATACTGGAAGAGTTCATTTTTGTAAATAAACTTTAGTTTACACCAAGAAAGAAAATTTCAATAATTACTTTTTTTACAAAATTTATAGTTATATAAATCATTTTTTAACATTTTTTGTTATTATACTTTTGTGGGGAAATTTTTCATTTAAAGTAAATTAAAATTTCATTAATTTTTATAAAACTTGTAATTACTCTTCTTATAAATTATTGATAAAATTTATTATTATGCATATATGGAAAAATTTGTTATTTAAAGCAAAATTGGATAACTTGTATTCAATGAAAATAAAAAAATTTCAAATAATTATTAGCTAGTTATTTCCTAGTTATTAATTATTAGTTTAGGAACCTTGAGAATAAAAATAAAAATATTATTCAAAGAGAAAATTAATTTAAACTAAAACTATTTGAAATTAAAAAAAATTAATCAATGGAAAAATAAAAAAAATTCTAAAGTGAAACTATAATTATTTAATTTTAATGAATTATTATAGAATCATGCTAAAATATATATTTGAATATTTTAAACAATATCCTATCATAATGAAACCCACAAAAAATGCACCAAAACATTTTTCAAATTTTTCATTTAACAAAAACATGTCTTTTAGAAAAAGAGCACACAGTTTATATCCCAAAAACAATATTTTCATACGTACGTAATTATCGGCTGATGAATACATTTTTTAGAGATACCAACTAATTAAGAATGCAGAAAAACAAGCTTATCGATTGTAATTTACGTATAAACTACGTCTAGATTTGAGATTCACTAAATAAACAAAATATCTTTGACCGAGTATCTAACATAAGAACAAAGCTTAATAAATCTAACATTAGAGTTAGGTTAATAAAATACGTTATCGTAAACTTATATAAACAGATCGATAATAATAGTCCGTTGATTAAAAAATCAGAAAATTGTACGATAAGAGATAACATCGTTGATTTGATTTGTTGTATCTGAAGATATTACATAATCGAATAATATGCGAAATCATTTGGGCCTCTTTAAATATGTATAGATCAATAAACAATTTTACTCGTGTTAATCCGTCGAGTGTGATTTGTTGGTTTAATTTGTTCAAGATTTTTCTACCGACGTTGATTAATAAGATAAAGTTGTGTCGGTATGGTTTGTAGGGTTCTCAGGTGCAGGAGATGCGTGTTCGATAATTTATTGCGGGTGGTATCTGTTTAATGACCTAATTAGTCTTATAATTTCTTTTTTATTGCTCGATCGTTCGGGTGTGGTGCGGAGAGAAAGGGGAGGCAAGGGCTATAAATTTTCGAGATGAGGGAGTTAGTGAAGTAACAGGAAAGTTGAGGAAGGAGGAAAGTTGGGAAATTTACGGTTGTTTTATGTATTTTGCAGGTTTTCTCTTTTTTAGTTCTTCAGTTTCTTGGTTTTTTAATTCTTTATTTTATTGATTTTACAATTCTTCAATTTCACAATCTTGTGATATTATATTTTCCCAATTTCATAGATTTCAATTACCAATTTTCTAAATTTTCCTATTTTTCAATTTTCTAGTTTTCCACTTTCTCAATTTCCCACTTTTCTAAATTTTCCATTTTCTAATCTGTCACTTTCCCAATTTCCCAAATTTCAATTACCCACTTTCCTAAATTTTCAATTCTCTAGTTTTCCACTTTCCCAATTTCCCACTTTTCTAAATTTTCCATTTTCCAATTTGTCACTTTCCCAACTTCCCAAATTCCAATTACCCACATTCTTAAATTTTCAATTTTCTAGTTTTCCACTCTCCCTATTTCCCACTTTTCTAAATTTTCCATTTTCTAATCTGTCACTTTCCCAATTTCCCAAATTTCAATTACCCACTTTCCTAAATTTTCAATTCTCTAGTTTTCCACTTTCCCAATTTCCCACTTTTCTAAATTTTCCATTTTCCAATCTGTCACTTTGCCAATTTCCCAAATTCCAATTACCCACATTCTTAAATTTTCAATTTTCTAGTTTTCCACTTTCCCAATTTCCCACTTTTCTAAATTTTCCATTTTCCAATCTGTCACTTTGCCAATTTCCCAAATTCCAATTACCCACATTCTTAAATTTTCAATTCTCCAATTCTCCAATACTCCAATTTTCCACTTTCCCAATTACCCAAATGTCAATTACTTACTTTCATAAATTTTCTATTTTCCACGTTATCACTTTCCCAATGTTCTAAGTTACCAACTATTCAATTCCCAATTTCCCCACATTTGAATTTCTCTAATTTCAATTATCTATTTTTCCAGATTTTCTATTTCCCAGTTACCTCTTTTTTTCAATTTGCCACTTTTCAATTTCCTAAGTTACCAGCTTTGCACTTTTCCACTATCTTCATATTCCAATTTCTCAAAATTCAATTACCCAGTATCCCAATTTTCCCAATTTGAAGTTTCCAATTTCCCATTTTATTAATTTCACAATTTTGTCAACTTTGTTAATTGTGTCAGTTTTGTCAACTTTGTTAATTTTATCAGTTTTGTCAATTTTGTCAATTTTGCCAATTTTATCAATTTTATCAATTTTGTTAATTTTGTCAATTTTTTTCAATTTTATCAAGTTTGTCAATTTTGTCAATTTTGTCAAGTTTGTCAAGTTTGTCAACTTTGTCAACTTTGTCAAGTTTGTCAATTTTATCAAGTTTGTCAATTGTGTCAAGTTTATCAATTTTATCAAGTTTGTCAATTTTGTCAAGTTTGTCAAGTTTGTCAAGTTTGTCAAGTTTGTTAAGTTTGTCAAGTTTGTCAATTTTGTCAAGTTTGTCAAGTTTGTCAATTTTGTCAAGTTTGTAAATTTTGTCAAGTTTGTCAAGTTTGTCAAGTTTGTCAATTTTGTCAATTTTGTCAAGTTTGTCGGTTTTGTCAAGTTTGTCAATTTAGTAAATTTTCTCAAAGTCAAAATAAAAGATACAAAAATCAACGAAATAAGTTGAGATCTCTCGAACAACCTTCACTTGCTCCCAACCCAAAACCTAATAAATTTCCAGCAATACAGAAGCAAACGATTGTCGAAAAATAAACGAATTCATTGAGGGATTCCGTTATCGAATGACGAAGCACGTGGCCGTTGGAAGATCTCACGAGACAAACAGTCGTAAGTCTCACAGGATCTTGAAAACAATACCGATTCGATAACAGGTCACTCCTCCTTTCTCCCCAGCGTGCTTTTATCGAGGAATACATCTATGTAATCGCGCTGGATGACAAAGAGATCCTTTTACCGGTTGCTACAAAGCTCAGACGTGTACTGATAAGAGCCAACGACTCATACAACGATGGTCTACATTTTCTATAGAACGTACGCATGTGATCGTGCTATCTGCGTCGAAGTTCCATACGAGACGCGCAAATATTGTAAATTTCACGAGATAACGTTACCTACGACCAATCAGAAAGCTGCATCTCGATTCTTTCAGTTTTTTGTCACGTTTGTTTGATCAGTTTTCAATGTTTCTCGATGTTACTGCCAGTTTTTTTGCATAGGACTCGCTGCACTTTGTGCACAACTGTTTTCCAACTTTTTTATGCTCCGATTGTATAACTGTGTTTGTGGAGATTGGAAATCCCGGTTGGGATATTCCATGATGAATAATTTCAGATGGGTTAATTAAGGTTACTGAAAGTTTTGCTTTTAGTGTGTCGAGAGGCTTCGAATTGAATAATTGACAAATTGGTGAATAGACAAATTAATAAACTGGCAAATTGAAGAACTGAAAAATTGAAGAATTGAAAAATTGAAACATTGAAAAATTAGAGAATTAAAAAATTGAATAATTGAATAATTGAATAATTGACAAACTGAAAAATTGAAGAATTGAAAAATTGATTGATTGAGAAATTGACAAATTGACAAACTAACAAACTGACTAATTGAAAAGTTGAAAAATTGACAAACTGACAAATTGACAAACTAACAAGTTGACAAATTGAAGAATTGAAGGATTGAAAAATTGATGGATTGAGAAATTGACAAACTAACAAACTGACTAATTGAAAAGTTGAAAAATTGAAAAATTGAGAAACTGAAAAATTGCATAATTGAAGAAATGAAGAATTGAATAATTATCAAATTGACAAATTGACAAACTGACAAACTGGCAAATTGAAGAATTGAAAAATTGATGGATTGAGAAATTAAAAAATTTACAAACTGACAAATTGACAAACTAACAAGCTGACAAATTAAAGAATTGAAGAATTGAAAAATTGATGGATTGAGAAATTGACAAATTGACAAACTAGCAAACTGACTAATTGAAAAATTGAAAAATTGAAAAATTGAAAAATTGAAAAATTGAAAAATTGACAAATTGACAAATTGACAAATTGAAAAATTGAAAAATTAGAAAATTGATATTATGAAAAATTAGGAAATTGAATATTTAAAAATATGTAATAAATTGAATATCAATTATCAATAACCAATAACAAAAATCTAATCGTGTCTCTATTTGCTTACAGTTCAAACGTATGCTGAACAAGGAGCTCTCGCACTTCTCGGAATCCTCAAAATCTGGCAACCAGATTTCAGAATACATCTGCAGCACCTTCCTCGGTAAGTTCTCAAATAAACAATTCGAGCATCGATATTTAAACAAATCCGTAACATTTGACGCGTGTTCGAACGCATTATCGCCTATTCCACAGTCTCATTGTGACGCACGCGAATTAAAAAGAAAATAGCGAGCCCGCGATGAATGCAAAATCAACAAAGGCAATTAGCCGGTTTCTTCCGAGGCCAGCGTGAGAAATTGATTTATCACGGACAATAAAAAAAAGTGCACTCTTACGCACCGAAGGCCCTTGAGATACTTCGTATCTCACGACCATTCATCCCGTTTCACGTGCTTTGTGTCGTAGTAATTCCTGTTTGCTCGTTTCGTCGACCGTTATCGTGCGTTTAACAATCAAATTTCACCTGTTCTTGGAAACGACTTGGTTATAAACTTATCTATCATTTGACATGCGCGAGATAATTAATTTACCTTTCATCATTTTTTGCGTTACTTATAATTTTCAGATATATGGTTCTTGAGGGAGCGATGTTAGGTCACATTTTAGAACTAGGCATAATGTTCCTTCTCTAAGCTGACATCATATGGCTACAAGCTATCATAACTTGCTAAATACCCACAATTAACTATAGCTATCCAAAAATGATCAGAATAGTCACATAACATACCTAGACCTGGTAGCCTCCTTCACCTGCCTGCTTCTGGACAACTAAAATGTACTTATCCTTCTAGTTAATCTACTTACACCTCTAGTCACATAATGTCCTCCTCACATATTATCCTCCTACTTCTAGTTATCCTCTCCAATGTCATAAACTGCCATAACTTGTATAATGTTCAACAAATTAATCACTGCTAATAGCTTGCCAAGTGCATCCACAATAGTCCTCATGATCTAACAGACATCGCTGATCCTACTATGGTAATAACTACGTTAACTCATTCAAAGAGGCATAAAAATTGATATAATTTGCAAAAGTTTTATTTCTGGACTGTGAGTCACCTAACTATAGTCTAGTCACCGTTGGACGTCCTCATAGTCATCTGATTCCACTTTAGAGTGCAAGATTAACATCTAATTCCACTTACATAAGTTCGAAATGGTCATAACTTGCAAACACTTGTAACTTTGAGTCAACATGATGGAATAGATAGTAATTGTGTTCAGATCATGTGACCTTAGGTACCCTATGTCTCCTATATAGCCTGTCAGGTTTTCTGGGTATCCTACTTGTCCTATTATACTTTCTAGGTGTTCTGTATATCCTGATATGCGTCCTAGATGTCCTATATGCTCTGTTGTGTCTCCTAGATATCATATTGACTTAGTGGACCTGGTGTCCTATCAGGCTATCTAGGTGTCTTACGTGTCCCATGCAACTTATCAGGATTTCTAGGTATCTCATGTGTCCTGTTATGCTTTCCAGGTGTTTTGTATGTCCTGATTTGCTTCCTAGATGTCCTACATGTCCTGTTGTGCCTCCTAGATATCATGTTGACCTAGTGGACCTGGTGTCCTATCAGGCTACCTAGGTGTCTTAGGCGTCCTATGTAACCTGTCAGGATTTCTAGGTATCCTATGCGTCCCATTATGCTTTCTAGCTATCTTATATGTCCTCTTATGCTTTCTAAGCGTCCTACATATCCCCTTATACCTCCTAGATGTCCTACTCTGCTAAATGTCCTAAAGTCCTATCAGGCTACCTAGGTGTTCCATGCGTCCTATGTATCCTATCAGGTTTTCTAGGTATCCTATGCGTCCCATTATGCTTTCTAGCCATCTTATATGTCCTCTTATGCTTTCTAAGCGTCCTACATATCCCCTTATGCCTCCTAAATGTCCTACCCTCCTAAATGTCCTAAAGTCCTATCAGGCTACCTAGGTGTCCCATGCGTCCCCTTAGACTACCAACCCATCTTCTGCCCTATCGAATGAATTTACTAACGAATCATTTTCCATTATATTTCAGATAAGCAACAAGAGTTAGACTTGCCCTCCCTGCGAATCGAGGATGCAGTCGCAGCTGCAGGCAGCGCAGATGCAAGGGCAGCGAAGAAGAAGGACCGCGCTCAGCGGGGTCCTGCCGCGATGTCCCACATCAGCGGCGTGAAACGGCCACTGACACACACGAACAGCTTCACCGGGGAGCGTGTGCCACTTCACGGCGTTGAAACGCCGCACGAAGAAGAACTTGGCAAGGTAAGATCCTCTTCTTGTCCATCAGAACGTGTTAGTTCAAAGTTCATTCACGAGATGCCATAATCAATTATGTATTGAACCGATAGTACGTTTTGCTCTAACTAGCACACATGTTACACGTGTGCGTCCTTCAACGATACGTTTACGTTTCTCGGCCGTTCAATGCTGAATTCTGAGAAGCAGGAAATGGGAATATCGAATGAATTGAACACCTGTGATTGATATGAAAATTTTTACAAACTCGTTATGTTAAATTACCGTAGTTTAATTGCCTGCAATAAATCTCTAGACCGGTGAAATAAATTAATAAACTTGAACAATTAAATAAGACCGAATCGTTTATATTGCGTAAGCGTCGCTGACTGTCGGCGTGAAAGTGAAACTAATTACCAATACTTTCTACCCGTCCGGAAGACCTCGATTAAGATTCAGTGTCTTCAAACGTTTATTTAAATCAACTCTCCCAGTCCTCAGAATTTTTGTTTACGTAAAATAAATTTGAAACTTTCTATAAATATTATAATTTATATAACCACAATTTTATGGATAATTTATTTCAAAAATTATCTAACACTAAAGTTATCTAACAATGCAAAATTTTATAAATGTAAAAATATTAGCTTGAGAAATATCAAATTTCAAAATAGTCGTCACGGCTTCAAATCCCCTGTCAATATGCAGTTAATACGCTATTGTCTAATTATTAATCACGTTCAACACGAGTCGGAGCACGTGTAATCTCCGATCAACGTTCCACGTGAACTAGGACACATGTTTCCTTGTTTATATCCGCATAACACCTGTTCTCTATTTTTATTTCTAACAAATGCGGCAAGAAATATTCGAATCAATGCAAAATCTCTCTTTGTTCCATCAAAAAGCCTTTAGTCACAGAAAGTAATTTTTAATACGCAAAAGATTAACAAGTTTGCCAAAGGTATTTTTTGGCCACCGATGGCACAGGTCGCGTGTTTACACTCGTCCATTTGGGCCGAGGTCAGCTGATAACCCAATTTCTTCGATTTCTTATCATCCACCTTCAGTCGTGAAATTAAACATTGATTCAGCGCTGAAATCTGGGTCGTTTCTAAAAATCCGCGTACGAATTATCAAAAGTTATTTCTCTCAAAGACACGTGTGCAAATCTCTCTGAAAAAGAGAAAGCAACTTTCGCGTAATACGCTGCTTTGTATGCTAATCAGATGCTTCCCGGTTCGAGGAAACTACCTTTTGAGGTCTTAGAATCGTTTTGCAACCCACACGCTCTGATTCAGACTACGCGAAACGAATCCTTATTTGGCGCGTGGCTTAGCGAAACTAGGCTAAGTTTCTGCAACTTCGCTTCATAAATTTTACTGTCAAAAAATTAAGTTACTTATGGCAGCCATTTTTAGGATAAAATATGTGAAACACCTTGCAAGTCCACAATTAACTAACACGTTCTGCTATCACTCTTCGATCGTTCGACACGTTTGCTGTCACATGAAACGTGACCCCTGACAATTATTTAATCCCCATTGGTTCACCAATAGACGGTAATTAAACTAATAGTTACGAAAAACCATGCGGGTCTCAGTGGTCCCGTATCGAAACCTAGTGCAGTGCAGGGTGACCCATAAAGCCCACCAGAAATGTTCTCTCAGCAAACGTGATCATAAACTTAAATTGCTAATGTTAATGTAACTGATGGTCTAATTTTTTGTTTACATTTCAGCTTCTGTCCGACATCGACAAGTGGGGCATCGACATCTTCAGGATAGGCGAGCTCAGCAACAACAGGCCGCTGACCTGCGTCGCCTACACAGCCTTCCAGACCCGAGATCTACTTAAATCGTTGGCCATACCGCCCAAGACCTTCGTGACCTTTATGATGACCCTCGAGGATCACTACGTCAAGGACAATCCCTTCCACAATAGTCTGCACGCGGCCGATGTGACCCAATCCACCCACACTCTGCTCAACACGCCCGCACTCGAGGTTAATATTGTATTCAAATCTCGTTTCTGTTTAGCGTTTCGTGAAACTACGCGTTACTCTCTCGTTTTTCTAGGTAATGTAGCCAATTAGAACTCCCGAGCCGCGAAATCGATGTTTGATCACCTATTTAGTACCCATTCCTCTCCAGAATCCCGCTAATTGCTGCTCCCTGGCCTCCAATTGACTTTTAATTAACGAGAAATTTGCGTTGACGACGCTAATTGGTTGTTGGAGATGAATACTAATGAGACTTTATGGCTTTTTTGTTGTAGTCCGTGTTCACGCCTTTGGAAATCACCGCGGCTCTGTTCGCTGCTACCATTCACGACGTGGACCATCCTGGACTCACCAACCAGTTCCTCATCAACTCAAGTAAGCATCCATACAAATTGCTCACCTCAACAATTCAATTTAGGATCATTATACTAATGACCTTTGTCTATTTCAGGCTCCGAGCTCGCCCTGATGTACAATGACGAGTCCGTTCTGGAGAACCACCACCTGGCGGTAGCCTTCAAGCTCCTCCAGAACGAGGGCTGCGACATTTTCGTGAACATGACGAAGAAGCAGCGTCAGACCCTCCGCAAGATGGTCATCGACATGGTCCTGTCCACGGACATGTCCAAACACATGTCCCTCCTCGCAGACCTGAAGACCATGGTGGAAACCAAGAAAGTAGCTGGCTCCGGTGTCCTCCTGTTAGACAATTATACCGACCGTATCCAGGTTCTGGAGAACCTGGTGCACTGCGCCGACCTGTCCAACCCCACCAAACCGTTACCACTTTACCGACGATGGGTCAGTCTGCTGATGGAAGAGTTCTTCCTCCAAGGAGACCGCGAGCGCGAACAGAACATGGACATCAGTCCGATGTGCGACAGGCACAGTGCCACGATCGAGAAGTCGCAGGTCGGCTTCATCGATTACATTGTCCATCCTCTTTGGGAGACCTGGGCGGACCTGGTGCACCCGGACGCCCAGGAGATTCTGGACACGCTCGAGGAGAACAGAGACTGGTACCAATCCATGATTCCTCCATCGCCGCCGTCCGATGACCAGCAGCAGCAGCAGGGAAACGAGCAGCAGTCTGACAGGATACACTTCCAGGTGAGGACTATGTTCTCTTAGTAGCGCCTCATCATAGGAACACTAGTTAGCACTTGAATTGAACTCTTTGAATGACTAAGGGTGATTATGATCATGGGGCTGACTGTACTTGATCAACAGTGTCCTTCATTTTGGGACTCTTTCTATGTTACTCACATGATGCTAGGTTACATCTAGTCTTCTTTAATTGTCGTTTGTTGTACTCACTCAAGTCTGTACATAAATCTATGTTGAGCTAGCTATCGCTTCAGTTTGTGAAGGATTTGAAGGATGTCAGTTTAAAGGATGCGTTGATATTTCAGGTGACACTGGAGGAAGGCGACGAGACAGGTGAAGCGACAGAGACCGGAGAATCGGGAGCAGGGAAGTTAACAACGCTATCTAGCGAAGAAGGGGGCGGTGAGACGGAGGAGAACGCCGCGGAGGCTGGAATGTGACGGAGGCTCGCGGGTATTTGCAGGAAGCTCCAAGAGAAGGTGCAGCAGACCTGGTGGCGCGTGCGTCAGTGACATTTAGCTCGCTGCCGCCGGCTGGGTCTATTTGTGTCGACCTATTGACCTTTGGCCAAGCTCCACTCCCTGGGACGGTGGAAGAAACCTCGTCGTCGGACGAGAGGACAAGAAGACAGAAATGGGAATGTCTAGTCGCTGTTCAGAGACCTGGACCGACGAGAAGGGTCATTTGCTGACGCGTGAACGAGAGGATGAGTGTTTGACGAACGATCAGGAGCGTATCGCGAAGAGGACACTCGTTTGACGCGGTCGTTTGCTCCGAGGCTGACGCGGGTCTCAGCGACGAGCAACGATCCTAGATCGCTGCGTCTCGGCTGGTTCGAGGCGCATCGAGAGCGTCCGGCGTGAATCCTCGATTACAAAATGGAGACTGGAGTATCGTCGTCGTTATCATCGTCGATTTTTCCCTACCCTGACGTCGTTCGATCGGCCTCGACCGTTTTTGGTGTGTCTAGCTCGAAGGAGGACACGAATCTCTTCACCAAGTACCTGTACGCAACAAGCAGACCGGTTAGCGAAGGATCACCGATGGGTCCTCGCTACCCAAACGATTCGAGGACGCAGGAAATCTCATCTCGCCAATGATAGGATCCTTTCTAACATATCAATTACATGGTACAAGCGGCTGATGCCGCGATTCGGAGGATCTTCTGCGCAGCCACCTGACCCCCGGGTCCCTCTAGTCTTGGGATGACGGACGTGTCTCCTCGTGATCACGCCGTCAGACGCCGAAGAAGTGAGAAGAAGCTGATCGGAGATGAAAGAAGGGGGTCAGAGGCTGGAACGTGAACAGAAGACTGTAGAGGACACTAGTTATCGCGCTTTCCACGTTCATCCTTGGTTCTCCGACGATCATCTCCACGGCTACCCAATCGTCTAGGACTAAGTCTATCCTTAAACGTAGGATCTTCGTCATGATTATAAGCGCGTACATCGCATGGAGCGAGAAGAAAGCGAAGATGGCGCCACACGACGTAGGTTAATTTTAATATGGAAGTTGAAGGCTGGCCTTTTACCTTGCGTTTGTATTAAAATTAATCGGTGGGACTTTCTTCTCGCGTTCATGCATACACGTACACACACATACACACACGTACACAGACTTAGACGCACACGAGGCGATCGTTTTTAACCAAAGAGTATTGTTATAGTCACTCGATCATAAACGGCAAGATACGAACTTGTTTGTTCTTCATCCAAGATTTCGAATAAAAAAAAACGATGAAAACCGCGTCATCATCATCGCGCGTTCTGGCTTCTAGCGATGGTAGATACTTAGGGGATCGAGGGGAATTTTAATTAGTTAGAAACCTTGCAGCTCGATGTGTTGACAAGAAAATGTTTAAAAACGTAAAAAAAAGTATCGAGACATAAAAAAAAATGAAAATAAACGAAGTACTCTCTCGCTTGGATGTCTGTGAATCGCTCAAACTCGCGGATCGAGCCTCGACAGTCGCGGTATACAGGTCGAGAATCGATTCGTCGCACTCTTTCTCGAGAAATTGGCATTCTAACGATTCCTTGCGTTTTCGTTTTCGATTTTTTTTTTTGTAAGTGACATTCGACCAAAACGTTGGTACAAGATACGACGACGATTTTTATTCGATTCGATCGACAATTGACGCGATTTTCTAAGCAAAATTGATCAACGACATAAGACTGGAACGAGTATTCGAAAGGCGTTTTAAATAGTCCGCTCGAGAAAGAGGCGAACACGTATCTGTGTCCGTAGGCAGTATGAAACTAGTGAGTGTTTTTTTGGTGCTGGTCACCAAGCTTAGATACGATTAAGAGTAATTTTACGTAAGGCTAACGAAGTACACGACTAGATATTAAGCTGAGGAATTAACTTAAATGAAAAACGAAACTTCTTTAGGCCGTAAGCGAAAACCGAGGTTAATTAATGATAATTAATCGTTTTAACCGTGAAACAAGAGTACGGAACGACTCGCTCGATTTCTTCAAACCGAATCAACTGGATCCTGAACGTTTTTTTTTTCAATTGTTCAAAGAATTCGTCGATCAATCGATCGGCAATGAAAACTTCAAACAAAAATCTCGAGCGAGGACGAACCGATCGAACGACGAAAGAACGTTTCTCCCTTTTTTAGTATTCTTATTTCTCCCGTTTTTTTTGTATTGAATAATTTTCACGGTTTTACTCGTTTCATCGTACCTTCATCATTAGCTTCCTACTTTGTGACTAACGACGCTTTAGAGATGATGTTTTTACGTGTACAATGACGATTTCGATGATGATTTCACGTGACGTGTGATTTGTTTGTTATTTAATCGTGATAATGGTGATGACGATGACGTATACCATGAAAATGATCACGACGATAGTACGCTGATGATCGCGAAAGTCAGATGTAAAGGAGATGAAACAAAAGAAAATGAAAAAAAAAAACAAATTGAAATACAAACGTGTTTGATTGCTGGACAGTTAAATGAACATGTATTAATATCGTGTAACCCTCGTACGAGATATATGTGTAATAAAACATATTTATTGTCGGAACTTATTGTTTCATTTGTTCACCTGTTCTCTTTCTTACAGATCCAATATACTGTCTTCTATTTTATAATTTATTAACTTCACATCAGTAACTAATTTTATCGAAATTGATTCTGAATTTTATTTTAAAGTTCTGGGATGAAGGTTTAATTACAGAATGAATGATAAATGATTTTTTTTTTAAATAAAATTGAAAACGGTTGAATGATGATTGCTTTAAACATTGATCACTTGTTCAGAAATGCAGAAATCTTCTTAACAGACGGTTTTAATAATAGAACTCTTCTTGTCCAACGACTGTGGTAACAGAACTCCTCTTTATCGACGGCTGTTGTAGCAGAACTCATCTTTAACGAAGTTTGTTATAACAGAAATCTACTTTCTCGACGGCGGTGACGATAGGCCTCTTCTTTACCGACAGCTGTGATAACAGAACTCTTCTTGACCAACAGCTGATCACGAGAATTAAACAAATTTGAATGCACAGAAAATTTGTAAAGTTTGAAATTTCAAAATTGCAGGGAAGGTACAAAATGAAACGACCACTCCCGTTTAATTATTTGTAAATATATTATTAAGTTAACATCTATAATATAGTAATGAAAAACCATTTACATTAATAAGTATCATAATAGTTCATGTGTGTGTACGTGTGTACGTGTGTGTGTGTCCCTTTCACTCTTTCACCAGCAAAACACTCAGTTCATAAAGAAGATCCAAAGCACGAATTCGAGTTTGCAACACAGAAATCGACCTTCTGTATTTTTCACGATCGAATACACCAAGGGGTGACTTTCACCCCGTACAGGAGCCGGCGAGTGAGATAAAGCTGATATATCCTTTCTCAATCATTCTCGTTTTAGTTTGGTAAAAAATGTATCAGGCGTCCTTTACACGTGATCTTAATCTAGCGTGATTAGTGCGGGTATATCGAGTGGCAACCATCGATCGACATCTCGTTTGTCTCGAATTAAATTTAATTTCTTCAATGTCACTCTTTCATTTCCAATAATTTTTACAATATTTTCAATTTTAAATTAATGACATTTGAAATTTAATTCGGGAATTCGAAAATCATTTATCTGATTTTGCGAGATGTTATAAGACCGAGGGCTGCGCGGTTTAATTTACAAAATCGAAATTATGTTAATTACTAAGACTAGAGACGGTAATAGTCGTTGTGTTTCGTTTTACAAGCAGTGACGTGTGCGCGACGAATTAAAAGAACATTCTAAAATATTAACTTGAAACACTAGTTTGAAAATGTTTCGTCTATTTTTTGATCGAGCTATCTTCGACAATATTGCGTCGGCAAATTTCGATCTCGTTTCTAATTAATATCGTATCTATCATTGTTTATATTCAGAATGTTAGTTTAAGCGTTTAAGCTTCGATCAATATTGCATATCAAATCCGAGCATATTAAATGAAACCGGTACGCAAACTTGATTTATTCATCGCGCACCATCGTGAATACCTGTCTTTCGAATTTTCAGTACGATTATAAACATTATTTTACATCGTCGAGTACTCTTTCGTTATTTCATCGAACTGTGCAAAGAAACACAAAGTGAATTTATTTTACAGCAAATTTTCTACAAGCTCCTTAAAACATTTTCCCAAATTACATTTTTTCAATGTACAGAATGAATTCTGCAGTTAACGAATAAAAAAACACCAGAAACTCGATGAAACACGTACATACCCAGATTACAATTTTGTAATACGTCGACCATCGTTCGTTAAATTCACAACAATAAAAACATAGTATATATATTCTCCCATATTTATAATATAATTTATATTTAAATATTTTTTTGCATATAACTATTTAACCCTCGATATAAATACCCTGAAATCTACACTCTCGCAGTTCTATATAAAACCAAATTCTCGTCTCTCTCTCTCTTCATACATACTTCATTCTTTTTACAGGAAAAATTTTGCGACCAATCGCGGAACCATTTTCTTATCCTCCATCTTGCTCGCATCTTTCCTTTCATTCTACACGAATATCGTTAAGTCTACTATTTACAGATAGGTGGAGCTTCCCAGTTTTTCTTTCTTCTAAAAATTGGGAGATCGGAACATCTTTTGTCTGGCAAGATATGACAGCCATTTTGGGAAGCTGCGTTGGAGGGACAATCTTTAATTTCAACTTTTTGCTGTGGAAATTATTTCAGTTTAAAATGAGTATTCTTAAGTCCTTGACTCGTTCAGAATTGTTCAAATATTTTGAATCATTCTTCAAAGAAAAAAAATAGTTGAGATAAAAATTTGTCCTGTGCCACCACTCTCAGACAGTTCCCTTTTCTTTCTATCTAATAGTGTACAAGCTTATACCCAACATCGAATTGTCCTCGTGTATTCGTTCATATATGTATATATTTATATATTTATATTCCATATTTATAATATGTATACCCAACTATCCAAGTATGTATAGTAAATCGACTAGCTATGTGATCAAGTACTATCCCCTTTCTTCGTTAGTCAAAACGAGTGAAAAATATCTTTGCATTTAACAATTTTCACGGACTGTTTGAACGATATGTCGGATTTTCAACTCCATAAATTGAAAGCTCTCGAATTAAATATCCGATGGTCGATTGAGAAATTTGGAGCTCAGAGAATTCGCAGCAGAAAATACAGCCCTGTATAACAGATTCCGCTATTGGATCAAACATAATCTAAATCTAACTCAAACCAAACGTAAAACTAACCGAACTTGTTGATAGTTCCAGGTGGGACGGAAACGAACAGAGGCGGAAGAGGATAACTGAAACGGCTATACAGCTTGTATTTCTAAGCGGATGACCGAACCGACTAGGCGGAATACTTGTGTATTATCGGAGCAAGCAATGTCTTCAAGATTGGCTTGTCTTTGCTTTCAATTGGAACTTTAATTAAATAACACTATTTATTTGTGAACTTGAACGATTTTCAAGTTGGGGTTATAATTTGGAAGGTTAGAAATATGATACATATGTGATATTAATATTATTTTTGCAATTGTGTCCATGTTCTGTCAAGGAAGTAATATTCTTATTATAACTGTTGATGTGAATCTTTAAATTAACTGGCATCAGCAGGAAATGTAATACAAATTTAATATTAATATTATTTATGCAATTTAGGTATACATGTTTTATGAAAGAAGTAATGGTCTTGTAATGATTGCATGTTGGAGTGAATTTTTAAATTAATATGTTGTCATTGGCAAGAAATATAATACATATGTAATAGTAGTGTTATTTATGCAGTTTACATGTCCAGGTTCTATCAAAGAAGTAATGTTCTTATAATAATTGCATGTTGATGTGAAACCAATTTTTAAATCAATCTATCAGTATCGACAAGAAATATACAAATGTAACATTAATATTATTTATGCATTTTAGAAGTCCATGTTCTATCAAAGAAATAATGTTTTCATAATAATTGCATGTTGATATGAAACCAATTTTTAAATCAATCTATCAGTATCGACAAGAAATATACAAATGTAACATTAATATTATTTATGCATTTTAGAAGTCCATGTTCTATCAAAGAAATAATGTTATGATAACTGCATGTTGATTTGAAATCTACTTTCAAATTGTCCACTTGCATCGCTTAGAAATATAATACAATATTAATACTGTTTATGTACTTTGGACATCCATGTTCTATTAAATAATTTTCTAATAACTGCATGTTAATATGAAACCAATTTTCAAATCAATTAACATCAGCAAGTAATATAATACAAATTTAATATTAATATTATTCATGCAATTTAGACATCCATGTTCTATCAAGGAAATAATATTCTTATAATAAATGAATGTTGATGTGAAACCAATTTTTAAATCAATCTATTGGCATCGCAAGAAATATACAAATATAATATGAATATTATTTATGCAATTTAGAAGTCCATGTCTATCAAAAAATTAATGCTATAATAATTGCATGTCTACTTTCAAATTGTTCATTTGCATCGCCAAGAAATAAAATACAATATTAATATTGTTTACATAATTTAGTCATCCATGTTCTAATAATTACATGTTGATTTAAACCAACATTCAAATTGTCTATTTGCATCAGCCAAAAATATAACACAATATTATTTATATCCATGTACTCTTAAAGAAATAATTCTAAAACAAGGTGACACAAGATGCAACAAGGTAACCTTGACCAGTTCATTCACAAAGCCACAAAAATAAAAGAGATCATAATGAGCTCGCCTGGTGAATTTCAATTCAGGAGTCGACCGGAAAGGAGGGATTCCAGAGATCGTGTCGTTCTGATTTAATCACGGAATCCTCTTTCTCGTCCTTAAAAAACCTTTTAACACCTTACCCCCAAACTTTGTCATCTTTAACTGAAAATTTGTTCAATAGGTTGATACTCAAAATGGCGTTACTTCTTATGCGAATAGAGTGCCTAACCTCCTCTGAGGTTAACCTCATTTTTGTTGTTGTGCAAATGTTGCAAAGTATCACATGTTCTATCTTTAATAAATTATCTCTTTAATGTGAGAGTTTGTAAGATCTTTAATGTAACTTAGTAATGTAATGTAGCTTTAAGGTAACCATGTTCCTAACCTCCAAATTAGTGTACCAAAAGAGGTGCACAAAATGGGGTAAAGTGTTAATTAACAGCCCTTACTATCTAACGCCAAGATCCCGCAGGATCTGGCCAAAATGGCGGCGCAAGTAAAATGAAACGAAAGAAGACATAGAAGAAGGGAGAAGTCCATTTACACGCTCGTTCCAACACGCACAATGATAGTTATAATAATAATAATAATCGTTTTCAGCTGTTGGTACTCGTGGCGCAGCAACACTAACCTCTCGTTCTTTTTCCCACTTTTTTTTATACACACACACGGGCATCAAGTTACATGCACGTAAAGATTCTCGTGTTTTTCTTCGGCCACGCGATCGTGCCGCGGAACTTTAATTAAAACGTGTATAATTACAGTCGAAACAGTATTCCCTGGCTGGCAAGTAAATACACGTTTCGTTCGACCTGGAAAACAGCCCTGCGAATGTGGCGGACGTCGAGCACCCTAAACAAGTACTATAAAGTTTCTCTTCTCTATTCCCTTTTATCTTCCTTCTTTTCTGGGTTTCATTTACTTTTGCACGTCCTCTATCTTGATTCCTTTCTCTCCCGCTCACTCATTCACTGGGATACAGTCATCGTTCGACGCACACGGTATTGGCCCCAGCACCCTTTTTTTTTGTTTTTCTTCCCCTTCCTGTTTCCTTGCGGCGAAGGAAAATTCGCCTTCTTAAATAACCGTTTCATCGCTGTAATTAGACTGGGATTCAAGATTACGAAATATGAGAAACAAAGTGAAATTATATGAAACAATCTGTACGAGCTTCCACAGTCTAATTGCGAATTTTTATCGTATGTAACCTTCTCATCGAAACGGTCGAGTCGATGGTACAGCAGAGACAGGAAACTTATTTCGTCGATATATCATTCTCGAAGGAGAGTACATTTCAAAAACCTATCTACAGTGACCCAGCACCTCAGGTCCCAGGCACCCAGAGAAGAATGTGGGACCCACATCGATCTTCCATTTTCTGGAAAGCTACACGAATTTCTAGCTTATGTACAGCTGATCGTTCAGGTGTCCGCCATATTCGCAGTGTCGCGTCACGTGATTCTGTGCACAATTTGCAGCCATTATCACTTATCCTCTAAGCTTGATTATTAGGTTACTTTCTCCCTCGGTACTCTCCGTTAAATTGTTCTGTTTAATATATATATAATTTTTTTCTTGTATTTATATTTATATATATATATATATTTTCGTTTTTTTTATTTATATAGAGATTTGTTGTAGTTGCTGTGCTCGTCGTTCTGTGTAGCTGTCTACACGGCCGTTTCTGTTTGGCCCGTTCCCTGCACTCAATGGTATCACCTCGCGATATATCTGCTGAAGATGATGCCGAGAACCAACAGAACGTACACAGATGCCGAGATCCGGAAGGTCCACGAGGTGGCCGTCGAGATGTCGCCACATTGCGCTGCAATAGGGAACACGTGTTATTGACTGCTGTAGAACTGGGGAAAATGACCGACACGATTGGGGAGGAATTTAAATGGGTTGAGTGCGAGGTGGTGAAAAGTTTGAGAGTTCGAGGAGCTGCGGTGGTGCAAATTTGGGAGACAGAGATTTGAAGGTTTGGAGATTTGGAATATGAGGATTTGGATTTAGGGAACTGAGTTGGAGGTTAAGGGATTTTTATGTGAGGAAATTTTTATGGGATATTAAATGTATTTGGAGATTTGGAGAGCTGGGGTTTAGGAGATTTTGGGATTTTGAAATTCGGGGTTTTTGAGACTAGGGGATTTGGACATTTGGGGATTTAGGGATTTGGGGATTTAGAGATTTAGAGGTTTGGAGATTTGTCTCTCCAAGTCCCCATATTACAAAATTTCCAAATATCCAAGTCCCCAGATCTCAAAATTCCCAAATCTCCAAGTCCCCATATCTCAAAATTCCCAAACCTTCAAGTCCCTATATCTCAAAATCCCAAAATCTCCAAGTCCCCATATCTCAAAATCCCTAAATCTCCAAGTTCCCATATCTCAAAATCCCTAAATTTCCAAGTCCCCATATTTCAAAATTCCCAAATCTCCAAGTCCCTAGATCTCAAAATCCCCAAATCTCCAAGTTCCCATATCTCAAAATCCCTAAATCTTTAAGTTCCCATATCTCAAAATTCCCAAATCTCAAAATCCCCAAATCTCCAAGTTCCTATATCTCAAAATTCCCAAATCTCCAAATTCCCATTTCTCAAAATTCCCAAATCTCAAAATCCCCAAATCTCCAAATCCCCAAATCTCCAAATCTCCAAATCCCCAGATCTCCAAATCTCCAAATCCCCAAATCTTCAAATCTCCAAATCCCCAAATCCCCAAATCCCCAAATCCCCAAATCCCCAAATCCCCAAATCCCCAAATCCTCAAATCTCCAAATCCCCAAATCTCCAAATTTACAACTCCACAAATATCCAGACCCCCAAACATATTCCCCATCTATTATAGATGTTAGCAGGGCAAAATGTTTAGTTAGCAAGGGACATTGGAATTGCATGCGATGATTGCTACGAGCTAATCAATTAACGATCGGTAGAGAAGGATCATCGACGAGACACTTAATGTCTAAGTTAATTAGAAACGTCGACTCGATGCTGTCGAGTCGTCAGCAATGCTCACCATACGACGTGAGGTTGACCTGCCAGGATACTAGATGACGATGAGAGGGTCTCGGACAGGAAGCAAGATGACCCGTCACTGAGAGTTCACGACTTCCTGTCGCCGCGGCGGATGCACTGTAAACGAGACAATAACGTCCCACGTCTGTGCTGGCCACCAAGTATGCTGTGTCGTTTTCGATCCATGTTCCGTGACACCAGTATTCTGAAAATTATTGATTCTTGTCATATAATTTGTATAATTATATTGTTTTACAATTCAAACATTTTGTTATATTGCATATTTGAGGACTTAATGTATTAGGTTAAATATAGTTATGTATTGTTGAGTAAATTGAATTTAAATGTGATTGTATATTCAGTTATGTTAAGCTAAAAATTATAATAATTTGTATAATTGCATTGTTTTATAATACAATTGAAACATTTTGTTATATTGCATATTTGAGGACTTAATGTATTAAGTTAGATATATTTATGTTTTGTTGTGTGAATTGAATTTAAATGTCATTGTATATTCAGTTATGTTAAGCTAAAAATTATAATAATTTGTACAATAGCATTACTTTATAAATACAATTCAAACCTTTTGTTATATTGCATATTTCAAGACATAATGTATTAACTTACAGTTACGTATAGTTACGTAAATTGAATTTAAATGTGATTGCAGGTATATTAAATTAATTTGATTTAAAGTTATAATAATTGCATTATCTTACAATTACAATTAGAACATTTTGCTATATTGCATATTTCAAGACCTACTGTATTAACTAAAATATTGTTATTTATTATCGAGTAGATTGAATTTAAATGGAACTGCAGGTATATTAAATCAAGTTAAATTAAGTTAAGTTAGGTTGAGTTACCATTAAGTAAATTTGAGTACATTTTAGTAAAAGTTAGTGTAATGTATGTATATTTTACAAGAACAGTTACAATGCTGTATATGTGCAGGTGCTAATAAGAATTCGTGTAACATTTTTATTTAATGTTTAGTGAAAATGTTAGTTAAGCCGATGTGTATCTAACCAAAGTTCTCGACAACTCGTTAAAAGAAAGTTAGGCGACGTGCGGCGTATCAAGAGACGCTGCGCAAACTTTTCGGTTCAAACTTATCAGATCGTCACAGAAATAATGTATTTTGCTTAAAGCAACAACAGCGTCCACGATAACGCTTGTACAACATACTGATAAGGGAAATTTTATTTTATGACGTGTAACCTCGCGAGACTAAGATTGTTTCCGATTGAACGAAAAACGTTAAATCATTATTAAGTTAAAAGTCTTAGTAAGTCAATGAAAGAGCATGGAATTTATTTTATTACGCTCTCGACAAAAAAGTGAATCGAAGTAGAAATAGCAAAGATTATAGTTAAATCGTTTAATTGAATTTTAAAGACTGCGAACCATTCGCGGAAGAATAAACGCGAATTCCAAGAGACGGATGGTACATCGGAATATTACATTCTCGGGTAATGTGACCTCATTATCGAGAATCGAATCGAAGTACATGTAAAAGCACAATTTCCGAGTGGTTTATCGGTTCCAACAGGGATGGAACAAGAGAGAAAAAAAGTTCCCATAGCAACGGAGGAACGTTTATCGTCCTAACGAAAGCATTGAATGGGTAATCATCCATGCAACCATTTTAAGCATACGATTTCGTGTTCGCCGTAAGAGTTTTACGATCGAGTTACAGGCTAACTCGCTGATAACGAGAAAAAGAGGAAAGGAAACAATCGGAGCGAGGAACGGTAAAGAAATTGATTAACGTTGGCGGAAAAGAATTAAATCATCCACGGGGAATGAAGAGCGTTCAATTATTGCCACACTGATTGTGAGCGCCATTATTGTTCAATCTGGCAATTTATTAGAGACAGTATTCGCGGTAACGGCGATTGTCTTTGGGACTAGTAACAGTAAATCACTATGCGAGTTTTATTGTTGTTCAACTATTAATCGGTGTTTACACGGTGCACAATACTAATCAATTCGGATACTAGACTCTATAATAGACTTCCGCGCAATAATTAGCTTCCAAATAGCAATCAAAGTAGTAATTTGATACGCAAATAGCAGTATCCCCGGCAGAACTGTAATTTGATCAGCAATTAGAAACCTGATAGCAATTATTATCCAAATCGTAATTATCAGAACAGTGATCGCCGTTAAACAAGTGGACCTTTCGTAATCTTTCGTGGAGAAGGTCATTTCATTTTCTATGAACTTCCGAGAGATGTACGATTTGAAATAACGCCCCGAAAAGAGATCGATTCGGGAAGAGAATTTTTGGAGAGCGAATAGATCGACTATGCGTTGGAGAAAGGCGCGAACGAGAACGAAATAAACGAAAGTCGTAAATCGCTCGAACATGTCGATATCTGGCGTGTTGTCTCGACACCGATACCTTATCGAGGCTGCAAGATAGAAAGATGAGAATTTACAGCGTCCCCGCGACAGTTCGCCGACTGAAAATGAAAATAAACAACGAAAATTTAGCGACAGAAGGATGGTCTACTCTTTCATGGAATATGTTTTCCACGGACGAACAGTCGATCACACCAGTCGTCACTATTTCTCAGATAAATCACGATAAATTTCCTCATCGGAATAGTATTATACCATTCTTCAAAAGAACAGATATTTACTATTTAATACTTTCAAATAAAACTTTGTATTTTCGTACGTAACGTCGTCAGTGATTCATTGCTATCGTTAATCGAAGAATTGAAAATTGAGGTCTTAATAATATTTTTAGGTGTTTGGAAAGATCGTACACTTATTCATTGTATTCATATAGAGCTTCAAAATAATATCGGCAGCTTTATTCGATAAATATTTTGTAGAACATTCCATAATAAAAAAAATACTAATTACTTTTGTCTGTGCAAACAACCTACACAGTAAAACTGCACTTTAAATGTATTAAAATATTTAAAACAATGTTGAAGCCCATAATTTCGATCAATAAGAGTCACACAATTATCGTAGCAGAAGTTACTCAAACAGAATCCAATGCACATCAATATATCACCCAACATAGAACGAAAATTGCATCGCAAATTAACTCGACAGATAGCGGAAAATGTGCTCTTGATAACGCACTTTGTTTCATTCCGATAGCTCAAGTAGTTCCGGAGATATAAAGGTTTAAAGTTTGATGCGCTCGAATTAGTAGTTGAGTAGTTGAGTAGATACGCTGAGTAGTACTTCTATTACTCAATGACTACTCGCGCTGAGGCTACTCACAGGAGTACGTAGCGCTGAAAAATGCGATCCTCTTTAAACGACGATATCTCAGGAACGGGAAGTCGTATCGATATAATATAAACATCATTTTAAAGAGAAAACTGTGCCGCTCCTGCTTACATAATCAGTGATTTATTCTGGTCACGAATTTTCCTGTTATGAGACAAACAAAATTGCTATATTTTAATAGAACAAATTTGCCCTATCGGATAAATGGAAAGTTAGATAAGAACGCGTTCTAAAACCAATTACACCTGAGCCAAAAGAAAACTCACATTTCTTCAGCGGAATAAGACGCGAAGTCAATTTTCTCATGGGAAGAACTTTTCGACGCCTGAACTCGGAACCGAAAGATCGGTAGATGAGCAAAAGTACGAAGGCGGCAAGTGGCGTTTCGTAATCCACAAAAACACGAGCGGATATCTCAAGGGGAAGGAGTTTAGTATCCGGAATTATTTTAACGGAGAGCAGGTTGACATAACCGTGGATTTAGGCGCTCAGAGCTTCGTGTCTTACGGCTGTCGACAAGGGGATTGCGTTCCAGGCTGCAGTCTCTCCCTTCTGTCTGCGAGTAGAACGCGAATTGGTCATTAAGACTTCGTACAAACAGTGATCTTAGCTCGAGCTCTTAGACCGAGAACATCTCAGGATGTCTCGAGCTGGCTTCCGGCACCGATCGTTAATCACACTCACCTTCCACCGTACTCCTATTTGTCCGTTTTTGGATTAACATTGTACTGCAGGAAAACTGCTGGACATTCAGAATCACGTTTGCTCTTTCGCTATTTAATCAGTCTATGAAAGCACCATCTGTTTCATTGCTTTTCATTGACCAAATTCATCAAAGACCAGAATCTAAGGAGGACTTATGATCTCTTCCATAGCTATATACATAGTATATATACCCATATGACAATTATACATCTACATGTCAATTAACTCTACAAAAATCACAATGTCATCTTGTTCTGATTTTTCAACCTTCATAAACACGAAATTCCTAAACCCAGTTTATAAAACAACGGTATCTCTCCATTTCAGTTCCGGGTAACGTATACCAAGCCATTTCTTTTCCAGAGATCAACTTTTATCACGAGTCCTAAAAGCAGACTCGATCCTCAGCTATCTTTCAGCGCAAGCGGATCGGTGCACAGGCACGCGCCATAAACACGTACAGCCGAATAAAGCAACAAACTTTGCACATAAGCAAGCAGGCAGCCAGGGCAACCGTCACGCCGCTGACTCCCCGCAAACTAACTATCGCCACTTGCGATAACTTTGCCAGCCAACGGGGTAGGGCGGGTGATTTATTCTGGTCACGAATTTTCCTGTTATGAGACAAACAAAATTGCTATATTTTAATAGAACAAATTTGCCCTATCGGATAAATGGAAAGTTAGATAAGAACGCGTTCTAAAACCAATTACACCTGAGCCAAAAGAAAACTCACATTTCTTCAGCGGAATAAGACGCGAAGTCAATTTTCTCATGGGAAGAACTTTTCGACGCCTGAACTCGGAACCGAAAGATCGGTAGATGAGCAAAAGTACGAAGGCGGCAAGTGGCGTTTCGTAATCCACAAAAACACGAGCGGATATCTCAAGGGGAAGGAGTTTAGTATCCGGAATTATTTTAACGGAGAGCAGGTTGACATAACCGTGGATTTAGGCGCTCAGAGCTTCGTGTCTTACGGCTGTCGACAAGGGGATTGCGTTCCAGGCTGCAGTCTCTCCCTTCTGTCTGCGAGTAGAACGCGAATTGGTCATTAAGACTTCGTACAAACAGTGATCTTAGCTCGAGCTCTTAGACCGAGAACATCTCAGGATGTCTCGAGCTGGCTTCCGGCACCGATCGTTAATCACACTCACCTTCCACCGTACTCCTATTTGTCCGTTTTTGGATTAACATTGTACTGCAGGAAAACTGCTGGACATTCAGAATCACGTTTGCTCTTTCGCTATTTAATCAGTCTATGAAAGCACCATCTGTTTCATTGCTTTTCATTGACCAAATTCATCAAAGACCAGAATCTAAGGAGGACTTATGATCTCTTCCATAGCTATATACATAGTATATATACCCATATGACAATTATACATCTACATGTCAATTAACTCTACAAAAATCACAATGTCATCTTGTTCTGATTTTTCAACCTTCATAAACACGAAATTCCTAAACCCAGTTTATAAAACAACGGTATCTCTCCATTTCAGTTCCGGGTAACGTATACCAAGCCATTTCTTTTCCAGAGATCAACTTTTATCACGAGTCCTAAAAGCAGACTCGATCCTCAGCTATCTTTCAGCGCAAGCGGATCGGTGCACAGGCACGCGCCATAAACACGTACAGCCGAATAAAGCAACAAACTTTGCACATAAGCAAGCAGGCAGCCAGGGCAACCGTCACGCCGCTGACTCCCCGCAAACTAACTATCGCCACTTGCGATAACTTTGCCAGCCAACGGGGTAGGGCGGTGCTGGTGGCGGCTCGAGGTAAATGGGGAAGCGAGAGACGCGTCTCCGTACGGAGGGATAACTTGGCCTGGTGCGGGTAATCCGATAAGATGTTCCTCGTCGGGGGTGAGCCACCCTTCGAGGATTCACTTCGCCCCGTATGATTCTGCACCGAGCGCGTGCACTCGATTCCAAAGGGGGTGAAAACGAGATACAGGTAAGACGGCTGACAATCGAAGGGTGCTGGCTTAAAGTCAATTCGAGACTTCTTACTGACAAAAATTTGTGGCGTCGTTTGCAACCTTGTAACATGTGTACATGGATAGTTATATTAACTGGTTTGAAAACGTATGCGTTAAAAGTCAATGTTTAATCCCTTGCACTATTTTGGGGCTGACTGACTTGTTCAGCTGTGATCAGCTATTGAGTAGTCGTAGCAGCTACTGAGTAGTAGTACTAGCTAGTGAGTAGTAGTAGTAGCTGTTGAGTAGTAGCAGCTACTGAGTAGTACTCATACTTTTGGGGCTGACTGACAATCTTGTTCAACTGTGATCAGCTATTGAATAGCAGTAGCAGCTACTGAGTAGTAGTACTAGCTAGTAAGTAGTAGTAGTAGCTGTTGAGTAGTAGCAGCTACTGAGTAGTAATAGTAGTAGCTATTGAGTAGTAACAGCTACTGAGCAGTAATAGTAGTAACTGTTGAGTAGTAGTAGTAGCTTTCTAGTAGTAATTGTAGCTATTGAGTAATAGCAGCTACTGACTAGTAATAGTAGTAGCTGTTGAGTAGTAGTAGTAGCTATTGAGTAGTAACAGCTACTGAGTAGTAATAGTAGTAGCTGTTGAGTAGTAGTGGTAGCTAGTGAGTAGTAACAGATACTGAGTAGTAATAGTAGTAACTGTTGAGCAGTAGTAGTAGCTATCTAGTAGTAATAGTAGCTATTGAGTAGTAGCAGCTACTGAGTAGTGGTAGTAGCTATTGAGTAATAACAGCTACTGAGTAACTATTAAGTATTAGCAGCTACTGAGTAGAAGTAGTAGCTATTGAGTAGTAGTAGCAGCTACTGAGTAGTAGTAGCAGCTGTTGAGTAACAGTAGCTATTGAGTATTAGTATTAACTATTGAGTAGTAGTAGCTATTGAGTATTAGTATTAACTATTGAGTAGCAGTAGCTATTGAGTGTCACTCCTGAAGTACTCAAAATATACTAACACTACTTAAGCAGTATTTGACTACACAGTAATATCGATTACTAATATTCTGAACAGTGACAGTAGTGACTTGAAGTAACATCAGCCTTTAAGTGTTTGTTGCCTCTACTTTGAATGACTTTTTGAAGAATGGTCAGTACTTAGGTATCGTTATATAACTATTTCCCTCACGTCACTGCTGCCAACAAGAACAGTTATTCTGTCTAGCGAAATTGAAGAGGGTAGCAACCCTTCAAACGTAACATGGAGAACGACGACTGTTCACGTCTGAGAAACGTCAGAAGCCACGTCTCGAAGCCATCAATGTTCCCAGTCACTTTCCGTGCCCTCGTCATCCTGTTCGATGTCGGGAATTTTTATGTCTCCCTTCCCCTTGTTTTCCAAAGGGAAATAGGCGGGAAGTAATGAACGATGCGAGGGTTCGAAGCAAGGATAAAGATTAATCGTTCCAGATATTAATCTCATGATTCCGATGGGAGAGGCAAAAAATGAACGCTGAATTATGGAATTGTAATGAAGACCCAAAGATGAATGATTGCGAACGAATTTGAAACACGTGTATCTCATTTTTCTCTTCACTTCATTGTATCTTGGTTCGACGCTGAAAGTTTTGACAATTATTCTTGCGACACCAGCTGATCTGCATATAAATACCTCAAGTTAGAATCAACGTTCTTTTCGGTTTAAAATAAGAATGGCTGCATCCTGCAAGCCAACATAAAAATTGGATAATATTGACAGATTCGCCAGAACTCTATCAGAACTCCAAACATCGTCAAAGCAGCCGGGGAAAATTCAATCCCAGCCACTTCGCATCAAACAAGAGCAAACAGGCTCAAAGAGTAAGCAAGTTTCCTAGAACAAGGATCAATTTTATCCCCTAATTCCCTGCGGAAGAAGAAATCTTACCCGAGGGTGACTCGTCGCTGCAGGACGTGGCGAACTCCATGCGATCCGGTGTCTTGCAACCGATATCCAGTCGGCGAACACTTCCGTAACGACATCGTCCTGGATACGGTGTCGATGTGACCCTGACGTCTTGCACCTCGGCGGCGTTCGCGATGTTCTGTTCGTCCTCCTCGCCCAATATCTCGTCAGGATTCTCGCCGACATGCGAATGAAGTACGGAGACGATCTCGTAACGACCCAGGTTAGGACACTGCTTCGTCATCGGATCGGTTGCTGTAGAGATCAGATCAATCACACTTCGTGGATCAATCGTAGATTTGACATATCAATTAAGATCGTAAGCGGGTGAAAATGACCCTTTGGGTAAATTTGCATGGAGAAGGTATGAGTAGATGTTCAGGTCGGACGTTGTCTCATATGTGATCACATGTGAAACTTGACTTATACTATATGTGAACTGGTATTCTATGAATTGCTGAACTGAAATTAAGTTCACATGAACCTTCTGTGTTAAATGAATGTACTTAGGAACTAAGAATGATCAGATGTTGAGTTTGGACGTTGTCTCATATGGAGTACTTGTCTTCATATGTGATCATATGTGAACCTTGACTTAGACTACATATGAACTGGTATTCTATGAATTGCTGAACTGAAATTAAGTTCACATAAACCTTCTGTGTTAATTTAATGTACTGAGGACATAAAAATGATCAGATGTTGAGTTTGGACGTTGTCTCATATCATCATATGTGATCACATGTGAACCTTCACATAGACTATATGTGAACTGATATTCTATGAATTGCTGATCTGATATTAGGTCCACATGAACCTCCTATGTTAATTCAATGTATTTAGGACTCTGTGTTAATTTAATGTACTGAGGACATAAGAATGATCAGATGTTGAGTTTGGACGTTGTCTCATAT